GGCTATCAGGCTATACTATGTTGCCGTACCTAATTTGTCATAGATAATAATGTGTGAAAAATGTCACCACATAGGTACTTGTGTCAAGCCCATAAAATAATACAGTTACCTTTTGTTGCGTAATTGCTTATTATTAAGAATAATATTAAATCAAGATGTATAAAAATCTGTGTTTTTCATATTTCCATAGAACTAACTTGTCTATTTAAAGAGATTTTAAATAATTGTATACTTAAATAAGACATGATGTATGTTCAATGGTAAAATGAAAAAGAAGTCTCTTTGTCTCTCGCTAATATAATTTTGAGAATACTGAAACATATAGAAGTAATATTTTTAATTAAAATAATTTAACATATACATATATACACACTAAAGCTTTTCCAAACCAATTCAACTTTGGGTCCTCGAAGAAAAGAGCGAACCAATTCTTAAGAGGCCGGCAGTGTGAGTGTCCATGGGCGGTGGTATCACTTAACATCCGGTGAGCATCCTGCCCGTTTGCCTCCTGGAAAAATACGCCGATTTCCTCGCCATGATTTTCTTTACTGTAAGTGCGAGTTTTAAATGCGTACATACCGTGAGGGTCTCGTCATACAAACTATATGCCATGAGCATAACAGTTCCAACAAAAATGAAACCATGTTATATTATCGGGAGTATAATTGGAACGCCATCTGTGTGATAGTGATATTGGAACGTTATTTCCTGAACCAACCTAACAATAAAAACAAAGTACGAATTGATAATTTCATGCATTTTAGTCGACAATGTTTCTTTTTAGGAGTACTAAATTACAATGGGAGATATAATGAATGTATTCAGTTTTATGTGGATATAATTTAAAATACTAATAAACTATTTTTTTCTTATGAATAAAGTTTAGTATTTTCAAAGACTTCTCGTTAATTAGTAAATATTTAAGTTGATATGTTGTAGATCTTCAATCTCAATCAACAATCAATTCATCAATCTTTATATTGTTGTAGATCGGGTTATAATAATAAGATTCAAATTAAAACTTAACTAGGCTTTCCTTATGTCACAAAGCATTGGTTTTTCAGGGAAAAAAGCTCCACGGTTCAAGCGCGTGGTTAATTGTATACTTGTAACTCGTTTTGTGTGAAAATGTAAAAATTCTTCGTACATATGTCCACGTTATTCTAGCATACATATACAGCAGAATAATACAGAGAAGGAAACGAACAAAATTTAATAAATTATAATGTTTAAAGTCTTTTAATGATAATTAACGTTCAATGACAGGTCACAGGGATCAAAAATATTTCTATTCTATACAGCAGAATAATACAGAGGAGGAAAACGTCCGAAACTCAATAAATTATAACGTTTAAAGCTTTTTAATGATATTTATAATTACTACAAAAACTTTTTGCTTGGTAAGTTGATATCACGTTAAACTATTAACAAATTTATTTACAATATAATACAATATTACAATATTGTATTACATGTAATACATAAGTTATGTAAGTAAACGTTTCTGACAATTTCAAGCTAAATAGTATGATCTCTTGCAATTCGCCAATTTCAGGCTGACATATTATTACTTTATTACTTACGGGGCCTAAAACATAAGCAGTCATAACTCCGGTCTCCAGCAAATTCTAGTGAATTATGAAAAAACTGACACAACAGAGAAGAATATATTACATTAATTATAGTTTATGCTTAGACCACTATGCAAACCTGACCAAGTCATCACGTTTTATAAGACCTTTATTTCTGTGACCATAGATAAATTCTAAACATGAGACAGCCAAAATCAAAATATTTTATCCACACTTTCCTAAAAGCGAGTTTCTTCCAACTCTTTTATTATTCCTAAAATCTCGAAAGGCACTTTTATCATACTTTCTGCATCTACATCTATCTTTTTATTAGGCCGATAAAGTGAGTCTAGTCTTGTTATGGGAACCAGCCTCTCACAAAGGTCAACAGCAGTTTACTTTATTATCTAGACTTGTGGAAAATAAATAAAATGAAATAAATTTATTAATATAATTATTTCGCCCATTAGCATTACAAAACTTCTTTGTCTTTATAATTTGGTATTAAACCCATTCCTCATTAACTGTATTTAATAAACAGTTGAAAGTCGAAAAGCAATAGTTGTTATAACTTCCCCACGAATTTTCCACTCTCCGAAACAATGCTGTTTTAATTTACATTCAAAATTTAATTAAACCGCAGATTATTCATAACAATTGTTATTCATGAATTTGTATATAAAAAGAACGTCTGAAATTTGGTTTTGATCGATTTGTTGTTGACATTTAAAATCAATTTTAAAATTTAGTTTTAAAGGTTGACCGGAATTAAAAATTAAGAAAATATACGTTTATTTCCCGGTATATAATATATAATTTTGTGCAAACAGCAACAAACAATAATATTATTGCATACTTAAGTTTCAATTTAATTTTTTCAATTCAGTTTGTAAACATATTTTTTTAGTAATATTTTAATGGCCTCTCAAGATATTTTATATGTAAATGGAACCGGTACAGAAGTTTTAATTAACCCTTAAGAATCTATTTTTTTTACTTTAAAATGCAATGCATTAGAGTCTTTATAATGTCAAAAGGTCCGATACGTCACACCACTAATCACAATATAAATATAGAGATGTTTAAAGCCAAAGGTAGAAAAATAAATTGCAAACATTTCCTCAAAAACCTTGTGAATAATTTAAACCGTCAAGACAAGACTTTGAGGCTTATACATTGAAGATTTCCAAAAGAATAGAATACAGTAAGTAAATAAAATACCGCCTTAATAAGTGTGGGACTGGATTTCGATTTCAAAGGAGACAATAATAATAAGAGACAAGAGTTATGTAACCTAACGTTAGTTAAGTTACATATATATATTTTAGTGAGAAATTAGAAGCGTAAACCATGTTACCAATCATCGCGCAATTGAAGCCAAAATGAGCCCTTTAGTTTTTCCACACTAATAAATTGTAATATAATATTCCGATTCCGATAATATCCAATAGGTCGACTATACTAATATTGAAGTGTCACTTACATATAAGAACCCATAAGCCAAGTTAGTTTTTTGTTAATCCAGCGTCTCAACCCCACTACCTTATTTTATGTTAGTTATAAGCTTAAACCACCACCGGACTTAGAGCAAAAGGAGATTTGTAAAAAAAACAAAAGAAAACTGTAATATTCATCTTTTAATTATAAAAAAATATTTTTTATGCTTACCATAACTTTATTTATCAAATGAAAATATCTAACATAAACTTTGTACACACAATAGCCACAGTATTGTATTGTTTTGAAATGTAATGTCTGTTGTTAGCTAGCTGAAATTATGTCATGTTGACTTGTCTGCATTATTTATTTCATTTAATAATATTATATTTTTGAATTATATTAACATCGCACTAACCTTCCCGACTCATTGTTTTGAGTCATTAATAAAACCATTAATATTGGTTGTAAGTATATATTTATTAATTAATACGTTACATAATAGAAAATGACCTGAAGGTTTATATATTACGAGGGCAAGGATCTACTCAATAATGCTTTTCATACAAATGCTACTTAGACCTCATATCATTAAGTAATATCTCATTATCGATTTACTCCATTAAAATAAACGAAAGATTTTGAAATCGCTATTTATGCGCGTTTAAAATGTTTCAAAACTAAAAATAACTTAGAGAATGAAACAGCAAATACGTCGCGTTGCTTGAGCACAACTGGTTATTTTAATTAAACCAATAATAAATTTAAAAAAGAACTTTAGTTCAACGTAGGTTATTATGACACAAATGTCACAAATCCTATTATATACGTGAATGAATAAATTAGGAAAATAATTAACTAAAAATTCGTACTTTGTTCGATGACTATTTTATATTTATCTTTGCACATGTCAGATATAATTATTATGGACGCTTACTTAACCGATTACAGCACGTGCAATTGTGTGTAACATTATCGAATAGTGGAATTAATTATAATATTTTAATTCCACTATACATTATATCGGCAAACAAGAATGTTTACAAAAAACTGTTTCCACGTATAAATCAAATGATTGACGTATATTATCAGAAAACTACTATTTGATGATTTATAGAAGGTTATATTTTTACATTTAATATCTGTTGTTGGATTTATATTCTTTGGTATAATTTGTTGATTTTGGCAAGATTTATTACTATTTGAATATTATGAAGAGGACATTTTTGTATGTTTATCAAAACTTTTTAGTTTGACTACTATTTGAAATATGATAATCAGGATTCTGCCTGCGTTATGCAAAAATATATATAAGCCGGCGCGAAGCCGCGGACGGCTTTTAAATTTGCTTTAATTTCGTTTTGATACAAAAGGAAATATTTGTGAGAATAGCCGACAAATACGTATTTTAAGTAAAAATCTACAATCCGTTATTAATGAATAGGACAATGATCTCTAAATTAATATAGATATATGAACGAAATGTTTATTGAAACACTTTTTTTTACTATAGCGTCAGCATGTCTAGATCGTTAAAAACAAGACACTCCCATTTATTTTCAATTAATTTTATGTCGTGTGAGTTTTATAAATAAACCTAAAAAAACAGTGTTGGCCTAGTGGAATCAGCGCGCGCCTCTCAGGTCATCGGTTCGATTACGAGCTGTGAACGAATGGACTTTGTGTCTGCATTTAACACTCGCTCGTAACGTTAACGGCGGTGAAGGAAAACATCGCGAGCAAAAGGGCTTAACTTAAAAAGGTGTGTGTCGGGCACAGAAGGCTAATGTTTACTTGCCTATTTGAAAAATGAATAACAGAATGTGTTGCGTGTCTGATAGCCTTTATCTCAAAAACCATCGTCATCTTTCGTTTATCACTCCCTGGTATTTCAAACGTAGCTTATCACAGTATAGGAGTTCAGGTACATCTCTAATCGTACTTTGTACTGAAATTCTTGTTTCAGAAAGATAATGAGAAGCTAGTGAAACAATGGAGATACAGATGTCATCCCCTCTGGGACGAGCCCACCTCTCTCATCTTCCGCAGCGACCACCAATAAACCTCAGCTTTCAAGATTTATCTTACACCGTATCCAATGGAAAAGGTTAGTTTTATTATGTCCCATAGCTATAATGTCAGTTTACAAATTCCAGGAAATCAGAATACAAAATTCCACCCGAATCACCTGAACGTCGTTACACGAGTGAGCATTATTTAAGGCAGTTTTTTGTGTGTGGAACCAGGTACCCACTGAACTGCTTCAATTCGACTTAGCGTCCTTCAAGAAAAGAGCGTTCTAATTCTTAAAAGGCCGGCAAAGCACTCGCGAGCCCTATGGTATTGAGAGGGTCCATCGGCGTCACTTAACATCAGGTGAGCCTCATCTCTGTTTGCCCCTTTTTCTATAAAAAAAATTCTAGTAGCAATCGTACAGGTTAAGGTCCATATACTGCATTATAATGTTGCAGATTTCAATTAGATAGCGATCTCTGAACATCTCTGTACTCATCTACTCGTTACAATATCGTATCGTATCTTAAAAGTACTATCCCCATACATATTTCTGTAGAAAGCGAGTCTGTAAGCAGTACTTTTCTACCGAAAGCCTTATTTTTAATATGAAACCTGGGTATTTCTTGAGACAACGGATAGTTCAATATTTTTCCTTGTCTTGCAGAATATATTTTGAGTATCTTTTGCACATTATGCATATTACTTGTCATCTTTTTTAATTTTACAAAAAGTTGTTGTCATGTTTAATCTTAGAAATAACCTTAAAGGTGATGCATGTATGTAAAATATAAATATAATTTTAAATTAATGATTTATTACAATATGGTGTGCTTTTTTTTATTACTCAACGATAAAAAAAACTGACAATGCGCAGAAAACACCCAAACTTTCATAAAGTCTGTGTCTCTCTAAAGTTTAAAAAACAAAGGCCAGATGCAGACTTCCATTGAACTGTGTTCAAAGTTTATTTTTCGCTTTAATATAATATTTCAATGTATTTTGAATGTGTTAATCAAACACATAGTGGAAAAAAACTTCTTCACTACATTGACGAGATATTTGGTGTGGATATTATTTAAATGTCGCAAAGCCTAAGTACTTATGAATGCGTATTTAAACGTTTTGTGAAGTCATTATTTGACGCTAATAATCTATTACTTGGAAACTAAATTATTGGTAAATAGGGAAGGGGTAATAATATAAATTACTTGGATGATTAAATAGCGCTGTAGAAATTTCCATAGGTGTAAACAAATAATGATTCAGTATTGTATAAACAGCAACAAAGTCAATAAAGATTTACTAAAATAATTTATTCAGTTTTTGTATAATTTTGATAGGATATTAGGTATTATGTAATGCAGCAAAATACATACACTATATAACAAGTCGTTGAACCGAAGTATGAGAGCGATCAGTCTCCAAGGTTAGTGCTAATTCTAGCCACGAAATATTGGCCAATCGTTTTAGAAAGCTTACACGTGACTAAGTCAAACCTAGGTGATTTTAACTCTTCAAACTTTGTTAATCAGTGAGAACATTATAGTATTTTTATTTTTCGGCTGACAGAAGACTAAGTAATGATAATAATGACCTTTATATGATATTAATGACCCATAGCACTGTAATGAGTGATGGATTGCTTTAAAATCAAGATTCAGATACCTTCAAGGCAACGTTTTTGTTAGTATAAACTGTTTTTTCTTACAAACAGAATGAATTATCTTTCTTCCAAATCGCGTCATCCCGGTAAAACATTAAATAAGTCAAACTAAACACTAAACGCATTTAGATAATGAGTCTAACCAGTTATTTATTGAACCTAAAAACGTATTAAACTGGATTATTCTAATATAGTTATAATATAATATATATATTTCTTCTAAATAGCAAATAAATAAGTTTAAAACAGACTTTTTTTAAAATTATATTACTGTTACTTTTAATTTTCATTAATATTTTATACGCTATTTACAATCTATGAAATAGGCTCCTCAGTCGCTGCAAATACAATTAAGTAATCATCTGATTTTGTCGGTATCTAGTGTGACATTAAAAAAACGAGTTCTTTGCGATATGAAGATGAAAAGGTACATGTCGTAATAAGCTTGAGAAAGTTGTGCGAAAATGTTTTCTCTATAGTAATTTAATATACTGGTATACTTTTTAATGAGGATTGTTGGCATAGTGGTTTCGTCGACTTGCGACTCTCATCCCTAAGTTCATAGGTTCGAATCCCGGCTGTGCACCAATGTACTGTATGTGAGCATATTTTTTAATATCCTTGTATAAATTAAACATTAGCTGCACTTATGACGTATTAAAATTAAATTATATGTCATTTTATTTTTATTTATTGTAATTTGACGTTATTTTCGTAAATAAGTGTTCCCATACACTTATTGTTCTTACTTAATAATCTGAAGAGCTAATACTGCTCTTCAGACTATTAAAGATAATTAGAGCTAACTAATATAAATGATTATATTTCATACAAGTGTATCCAAAAAACTTTGTCCTGTACACACGTCTTAAATAAATAAAAAGTTTAATTGTAAATCTAAACCATTCTAGAATCCGGTCTATCTGGTGGAGTTTAATTACAAACACACGCATAGAAGATACTTATTTATTAGCTTGTCAACGCTCGGCACAGCGTTTACATTGGTAAAAGAAAAATAAAATAAAATTTTAATGTTGCAAGTACTTATAAGTAAAGATAACTTACACGAAGAGATAATAAAAAAAATTAAACAAAACTACTTAATTATATATCGTCGCGGTATCGGTTTTTGATTTTTATTCATATACTAATGTTGTCGTCATAACATCTATGTATTTTTATTTTTCAACACCAATAATGTAAATTTCTGACTTCATTGTTTAATTAATTTCGGAAAATCATAAATTTTTTTATGATTCATTTATTAAAATGTATTCACAGATACATGTCAAATACAAAACAAATATAAATTAATAAAAGGCATTTACGTTGAACAAGAATGTTTGTTTAAATAAGAGTTGGTGTAACAATGTAAATATTGATTATTGGTTTACAAAATCCTAAATAATTAGTGATTTAGCGTGAATGAACCTTCATTATTGGTACGGAAACCGCGAACATAACACGGCTATTTACGTCGCAAATAAGTTTTAGGATTATGCTTTATGATTATTAGACTTAGCTTTTAACGAGGCACTCAAACAGCCTGGATTTGGTGTTACCCGCCAATCTTAAAATAGTAAATAGCAAACAAATCGGCGGGTATTCGTAATTATCATAACTTTGAGCTACGGATACTATCATAAAGAACGATACAGTTTGATAGAATAATCTCTATACCTAATATCTTAAAATTAGGAACTCTGAGAATGAAAACCCCATTTAATATATTTACAAAATAAAAATAAAAGTCTCATAAACTTTTTCTTCTTATAGTGCCATCTCTTAAGAAGAGTCTGCTATAATTTACGATCTCATAATGTTTAATAATTCAAATTAATTTAGTAAAAATCGACTGCGGTTATATGAGTATTTACCGTATATGGCTTTTCTTCTAGGAAGCAAATTGGGTAGTCCCAGACTTAATAGAAACGAAACTCGCCGTCAGATTTACTAATATAAAAAAGTTTTTGTATTAGTTTTGCTGATAATACAAATTTATAGGTAGGTACTAGACTTTGTACACTGCTTTGCTGAACATAGATATGTTTACAAAGGATGTTATAATCCAAGTTCTAACTCAGCACTAGTCTAGGTAAACAGGTGACTACACACACGTAGTTTGAAGCAATGGATTTTTTCTGAAAAAAAAAGTATCACTCGGAAGATAAATATGTACTTTTCTATGAAGAAAAATGATCGACGAAGCAAACGTAGAAATGTATCAATACCACTAATTTGATTGATTGGTTATAGGAGCTAGGAAGTCCATAGGAACGCGTTTCTAAATACTACCAAATACCAGTTATATAGTAAGCTCAATTGAATTTGTGAATCGAAAAGTTGTGCGCGGTCACGTGCGGCTCGGCCTACTTACAACATGGCACGTGAATGCACTACCGCTCTATAGCTGACTTCCACTTTGCTTCAACAAAGAGAAGAGAGACTGAAGGGCTAACCAAAATTTATAATTATATAGGTATTTTTATTTCAAGTACCTACACTTCGTTAGAGGATTCGTAATACTAGTTTTGATACATAGTACATTTATTATTTCCATATTTTATATTCTTACAGCAACTTATACTAATTCAATAGAAAGCTTATTAATACAAAAATTTAACTAAGAACATATGACATACGACAAAATAAGAAAACATTAAAGCTACACTTTTTTTAACAAATTATCAATACGGCCACCCTTGTGAATTCATACAGTGTGCAACTAAATATATCAGTCTTATATGCGATAGTGTAAGGTGCAAGACGCGCGTAAATTGTGCTTACCTAAGAAAATTTGAACGCGCTCGCGGCACTGCTGATTGCCACCGCTTCCCACGCCGGTTATTTGGCACTCAAATGAAAATACAATACAATTTCTGTAGAACCAAAGTTAAATCTATAGCCTTACTAACGCCTGATTTTCATCGCAAAAAACAAGGCAAGTCGTAGTTCTGGGGAGCAAAAGACAAACGAGTTCTCTATAAATGTACTACCAATCTACGGCCCGTTATTAGGTATTTCAGTAATAGAAACCGGATGTTAATTGATACCACATTTATAAGAGTCGGCCCCAAGTGTATTTAACCACTTCGAAGATACCGTACACCGGCATTCACTTTTGCAAGAATACATGCAACGCAATCCGGTAACTTGCCGCTACGGGCACACACTAATATATCCGGTCTAGGAAGTCTTACTTACTTCGTCCCTTATCTGAGCGTGGATAAAGTTAGCTGTGCCTATTACCATGGTTACCATTAATTTTTATATTAAAGAGCATATTTTTATATTAGAGATTAGAGATATCAGAGAGATATACTAAAAAAAGATCACCGTGGTATTTAAACGGAAAGAACGGATTCGTAAAAATTTAAATATTTTGATGAATTCTTTTCATCTTTTTCTGCATAATAAATGCGTTCCCCACTATTCTGGCACCTTTGTAACGTATTTTATACCTTACTCTCATATAGGTATTATTTTGTGATGTTCTACTTTAAAAATTAAACTTATCTACACTATCTTACTATCATCATAATTGAATTCTTTTGATATACTCTATAACCTGTTATCAATACGACACGACCGCAAATATTTGGTAATTGTATTGTAATTGTTATGATCGATCAACGAACCTACCTTGACGAGGCTCTTGGAGCTATTGAGGTTACACATACATTGTAATGACGCTCACTGTATTTTTCCACCCCAAATAAGCTAATGAGAAAATACGCATCATACAGGTTTTCTCATCCAAGGCAATTATGCAATCTGCCATTGACAAAACGGAGTGGACGAGTTTTTATATGAAGCTGATGTTCCATGACATTGTTTTGCATGTATTGTTACTAAGATGAGCATAACGAGGCAACATTTGAAAACTACTATAGGAGTTAATAACGCAAGAAGATTGCGAATAAATATACTCGTATGTATATGTTAGAGCAATGACATTATTTTATACGTGAAACTAAATACTCAATGCTAGGCTATGATTTCAGAGTTCGTCAATCCGTAACTAAGACAACTCGTTCTCTCAAAGTAATTAATTAAATGACTTAATTTCAATCAAATTAAATTAATTTAACTAAAATTCGTAATATTAGCGTGTTTAACCAATTTAAAAGGGCATTAAAGATTAGAGAATATTAGGACGGCTCATTATGGAAAATGGTAAAACAACGGCATGTCAAAAATAGTTTTTACTATTATTATTATTCATGCACTTTTAAAAGTTTATTAAATAGTATAAGACTTTAATATAATCTATTAATTTTGCATGATTTGCATTTGGAATATGATTTTTTTAATTCGGCAAAGTAAGTATGTCAAAGAATGTCTATTTCAGATCTGTTCGCTTCAATCTTTTAAAATTAATTTCTTTCAAAAATTTACTTTTAGAAAGCCCATGGTATGCAGATTTTAACGAAAATATAAAATAGTAGATTTTATAATTATGTTTATATTAATAAAATTAACAGTAGGTAAGTGAGGGAAAAAAAAGACAGTTTTTTAACTTCGTCGATATTTTGACAGTTGCCGATGCCTCCCGGTGCTTTACATTTGATATTGTTTTGTAGGGTAGATATTCAAGAATAACAATCGCGGATACGTGCGTGCGTGAGTTTCGAAAGTTATCGCGAAAGGTATAATACAAGGCAGAAAACAGAAAAACTCTAAAGTTGAACTATTAAATTGATTAGTTTGCGGTTATTTATTGATAACAAGGCGTTTTATCATTTTATGTATTTACACATTAATATACTTATTTTTTCAAGTACTTTACAAAAATTGTATTTTTAAACATTAAATCCTTAACGAAATAAATATTAGTAATCACACCTTTTAATTACTTATTAAAATAGGTATGAGGTATTATTGTTGTGTAATAAAGTAATGAAAAAATAACTATTCACTACTTTATTCACCATATTGTCGATAAGGAAATACAATAAAGGCCATTTCTTTAAACTGTTGTTTTTATCATTTATTTATACACACATACTTAAATAAAAGTAAAGAACCTGAGCTATATTTGAAGCTCTATTTAATACAATATATAAAGTTATCGATTTTTGACATGAAACAGACCTCGATTTTCCATAGTGCGCCTGTATGATGGCGACGTGTATCTCGTTCGTATATAAGTACAAAATAAATTGTAATGAGGAATGAAGTTCTTTAAAAAACATTATATTTAAATATATTATAAAGCCAACGAACTGTTAAGGTTAACAACTTTTTAATTTACTAGTTGAAACAAAAAAAAAGGTCTGATCTATAAGATCTATGAATTCTTAATGCACATTCCTTAATACCTTCTAGAAAGCGTGGGGTATCACTGGGATATCAAAAAAGGTTTAATACTATATTATGCACAGATGAATTTTTCAAATATGAAACATAAGCGAAACTTAAAATATATGTCGAGAAATGCTGAAAGGATCTCACTCCTGATTTTGAAAAGATTCGCAAAAAAATCATAGTTTTCATGTCGCTTTATCTATAACCATAAGATTTAAGAACATATAGTATGTATAGTGAATATGACACCACAGAATATATGTTCAGCCACATGAATATTACTTCCTGACATTTGATCCTAATCAGTAACGTTATCTAATGGCGTTATAAAACGTGATTTAATATTTTTCGATATTCAGTTTCAGATTGTGCTTTTTTTGCACGCTTGTTTACTAAAATATCTAGTATCTAGTCTATCTACCAATATATTAGTTTCCAATATTTATAAAATTGAGTGTTTAATTGTGTGTTTAGTTTATAAATTGAGATACCAGTTTTCTGTAGGCATTTCCATCACCGACTATAGACAAAAAAAACAGTGGCGCTACAACCTCTTTACATTAGATTTCTGTAACTGTTTCATGATCATTTTTAAATCAAATAGGCAAGTAGGTGATCAGACTCCAGTGCCTGACACACGCCGTCGACTTTTTGGGTCTAAGACATGTCGGTTTCCTCACGATGTTTTCCTTCACCGTTCGAGCAAATGTTAAATGCGCACATAGAACGAAACTCCATTGGTGCACTGCCGGGGATCGAACCTACGACGTCAGGTATGAGAGTCACACGCTGAAGCCACTAGGCCAACACTCTACCGACTTTAGATAGACAGAGTTTATATATATTTTTCTTAACACATTATCTACGTATTATTTTTCGCTATCACCTAAAGTCAACAATGTGAACATACAAGTGAAATAAAAATATATAGCAAAATGTTTATAAATTACTAACCTTCCCGCCATTTTGTTTTACTGTCTCGTATTAGTAATATTAAAAAAAATTAAGCGTATATAGACAGTTCTCATATTTTGTAATTTTGTGTATAAATGGCGGGATGTGTTGCTTATTTATTGCGTTTGCATTTTGTCAATCCTCATTTTGTCTTAAAGTTTTTGTATTTTACTTAAAACCAAATAGACGTAGACGCTTGGACATATATAGCATATATACAAAAACTAAACCTTTATCAATCAATAAAGAAACTGAAAATAGTCAAATTATAGTATCAAGAACATAAATTGGTATTTATTTTAGTAAAAACTAGTATTTATCAATATTATAACTAAGTAACTATCGTATGACTGTCGGTAATGGTGACCCTGACTGACTTTATTTTATTATGAATAATTGTATATGTTACACTGGTTATGACATACATCTATGATTTATTGGTAATATTTATAATATGTGTATATTTATAATAGAGATTTCGAAAAATCTTAATTGTCACAAAAGAAATACTTTATTGTTTGAAACTTGTCTAGTTCATTATAATTCTGATTTTTTTAAATCAACCCTTTTAATTTAGTAGGTAAAACTGAAATCATATTACTTTAGTAATTTAAAGTCAATGTCCAAAATAAACATAGTCTATGTATTGTAGAGGGAAATATTTTAATTGCTGTTTATTTGTATACAGCTTTAATTTTATAAGCAGTAATATTGCATACACGTTCTACAAATAGTAATGTGAACATACAATATATACAATATACATACAGAATAACAGAGAACGTTAATCATATAAGCCCCTAGGCTTACGCCGATTCGTAAATCACGTTATATGTCATAATCGTGTTGCGTTACCAATTAGAATGACAATTATATTTTTAATTTTGCCTTAGTTTAGATAGAAAAAAAAGTTTAAAAGAAAAATAGGTACCAATTTTACTCTAGTTTTCATCAGAACCATTGCCATAGTTTTTCTTCTAGTCTTAATTCAAAACATGTCCACAGACAGAGGTCAGGCGATCAGACGTAAGGTCACTACGAGACAGTTTGTATTTTTTATTAAAATATAAAATTTACCTCATTTGTTTTGTCAGCGGAGGATGACCATTGTATTTAAGTCCTGAAACTTGTTCGACGCATTCAGAATGACATCACCAGATGCACATTCTTATGCCAAAACTAGAAAAATTATTGTGTGTTTTTTTCAAGGAATGCATTTCAAACGACCAAGACTTCACACATTTATACAGTTCACTTGACGTTGTCTATAGCACTATATAGAGCGAGCCCATTTTTAACCCTTGGCATTCTTTTCCAGTATCCAAGTTTATCCTGCGCAGCATCAATGGGGAGTTTCGATCTGGACAATTGACTGCCATCTTGGGTCCTTCAGGAGCGGGAAAAAGCACATTGCTAAATGTCCTAGCTGGTTACAGGTAACATTCGTTAATACCTATTTCGAATACTTAATGAGCTAAAACACATAAGTTAAATAGGATTGTAAAATATTTGACGCATTTTGCACATTTTTGAAGTTTTTTAATTAAAGTAGTGGTTTAATAATAAAAACTCTTCGTATTAACAAATTAAGTGGCGCAGATCACGCTAGTAAAACCGTTGGTAAGGGTTAGAATAATTCAGATTGTTAAAGATTTATATTTAAAAAAAAATTGCTTTTCTCTGAATATTACTACCACTGCTGCTAGCAGGGCCGGATTTAGAGTTCTGGAGGCCTCGTGGCAGCAGCCTTGCGATTCTGTAACTCACTTTTCGAACTCACACAGCGGTTTTCACAGCGACGGTCGCGCTCAAATCAGTCGTAAAGTCGATTAGGACGTGTGGAAACCGCTGTGAGAGTGCGAAAAGTGAGATACAAAATCGCAAGGCAGTTCAGGGCCAGGTTATGGTAAAACAGCAACAAAAATTAGTTTTTTTTGTGGAGTCTCTTTTGTGAAATTTAGCTACATGTAATGAGTAGTAAAACAATGACTCGACTTTTAATTAAATGTGCATTCATTATATCTTTGACAAGTGAGTTTAAAGTTCAAAAAGTTGGTGATAAATAATTATTATCTTTATTATTTTTTACGTTTTAAATTCACCTTTGACAGTTATAAATTCTGCAAGCGCTAGCTATCGGAATACAACTGGTATTAAAATGTATTATTATCAGCTCGCTAAGAAAATTGTAATCGTTTCATTATCTGTTACATGTCTGTGTCAAGCAATTATTTTAATAGACAACTGCATATAAATAAAATAACCCTAAGAAGAATAAGACAATCATTTTCCTTCCTACAAGTTATTATTGAGTTATAATATATACCAAAATCTTTGAGTATATGTTGCTAAGCACAAACCTCGAGGAGGGCTTGACCACATCGGGTTTTTTTTTATATTATTGATAACATATTATTGGTTTGTATGGAGACAAAAATAAAAAACAATAGTTTTAGGTTACTAATAGGTTTTTATTCCGAAAAATCTCTATTTGGTTGCGTATCAAAATTTTCAATATGTTTGTCTGTAGCTACTAAAAAGGTAGGCTAAGTAAAACAATCATATTAAGGCGAAACGAAGCTCGCGGTTAGAAATTTTAAGAAATAAATTTCGAATTTCAGAGTTTTAGGTGCTTCGGGGGTAATCAGTACCAACGGAAATCCAAGAGACGTTAATCTCTTCAGAAAGCTGTCCAGATATATCATGCAAGATGATCTCCTACAGCCCCTCATCACCGTTCAAGAAGCGATGTTGATGGCTGCGGACTTGAAGCTTGGTGATAACTTGGATAAGGCCAAGAAGACTGTTGTTGTACGTTATTTTTCTTTGTTTACGTAAAGTTATTTACGTTTAAGCGTGCACGTTTCATTTTAGAATTTAATACAAGTATGAATGAATGTTAATAAAGGATAAATCGCTTAGCAAAATAATATTTTAATAACAGTTTAAATGGTTACTATAGTAATTTGTGTCATAATTATCACGTGCCTAAAGCTTTGTGAGTCAGGTAATTTTCCTAGGGTTAGGTTAGTGACTTTAATTGTTAAGGAAATGACGCATGCGAATTACTTAGATTTAAATATTAAAATTTTCGCCTAGTCTCAGTTCTAAGTATTTTAAATAGATAAATGAGTAATCTAAATAAATTTGATTTTTGATACTTTTGTTGTTTCTTTAACGATTGTATTTTAGAACATTGTCAAACATAGCTGTACTCAGAGTTATTTATTAAATGTTAATGATATAAGTAGTTGAAAAAGGTCCTTTATCAGACGATTTATGCTTCCTTAAATCATACCTCAGATAATGAGGTACATTTATAAGTTTTTGCTTAATTTATTGCAATAATGTTTTAGATATATTTTAAAATATATAAATAACGCGTCACGTTGTTTGTCCGCTATGGACTCCTAAATTACTTAACCGAATTCTATCAAATTTGCACACCGTGTGCAGTTTGATATAACTTTACAGATAGGATAGCTTACATATAATTCTACTGTACATCTGTATGTCACTGAACTGCTCATAAACGGCTGGACCGATTTGAATGATTTTTTTTGTATGCATTTGGGTGGAGCCCTGGATGGTTTAGATTAACAAATTAGCCCCGCAGTCTGTACTTTCATACTTTGTTTAATATCCTAATCGCTTGAAATATCATGCAGGACAACGTCTGTCAGGTTCGCTAGTATAATATAAAGAAAAGTGTATACCTGAATGCGTAACCGTCTTAGTCCGGGAAGGCTACCCAACCGGCTTCCCTCACAAATCTATAACCAAAAAATCTACGACAACTGTTATTCATATATGTATAGATCACTTACTTTAGTCGAAGTCCAGGTAATTTGTACTTCAGTAACGGAAACCCCATAAAAGAAGAAGTACTTAATATAAACAGTTTCTGCTTTCCCAGGTGGAGGAAATAATTCAACTTCTAAGACTGAACAAAGCCAGAAACACAGTTACAGAAAATCTGTCTGGCGGCGAAAGGAAACGTCTTGCCATTGCTCTGGAGTTAGTTAACAATCCACCTGTTATTTTCCTAGATGAGCCTACTACGTATGTATCTAGAAGTTAATTAGCTATAGTTTAGATTTAAAGAAGCGTATCAATTCTTAAAAGGCCAGCAACGGACTCGCGAACCCTCTGACATTGAGAGTGTCCGTGGGCGGCACTTAGCATTAGGTGAGTCTATATACTACCCGTTTGCCCCTGTTCTATAAAAAAATAATTTAAGAAATTGCGCTTAGCTTAGGCAGAGCTCATTAATTCTATAATCGACATCAGAAATTGTTTTGTCAATATTTTTAATAAAACGCATTTTTCTTTTAAAAACTAAAACTACAGTGATCAAGAAACTGTTTTATAGAATCTAAATGTATTCTCTATTGGTATTCCAAGGTCGGATCTAGGACTCGCGTCAGAGGTCTCTTAGTATTGTACCGTATTGATAAAAAAATCTGTAAATAGTGACTAAAAAAGCTTTTAGTCACAATTTACAGATTTAGCTATATTTGCATTGTCTAGCAATGTCTTGTGTTCGTCTCAACCGAAGAATTATTTTATTTATGCTGCACGCGCAGCAAATCCCGAGGTGACTTTTTGTATCAAAGAAGTCGCACAGGTCAAAAACTATACATTCATAAATAGTAATTAGGTAGGAATATAACTAAGAAATAGTAAATAATTAACAATGCAAGGTTGCTAAATCGAATGAAAGGCCTCAAGGAGTTGCTGCAAATGTTCATTTTTCATCAAATTTTTTATTGTAAACCGACACAATATGTTAACAGCACCTGAAGTGAAGTAATCTGAGGTATTATTCATTTTGCAGAGGATTAGACGACGTGGCATCATCGACTTGCGTATCGCTATTAAAACGGGTGGCTCGTGGAGGCCGTACTGTTGTTTGTTCAGTCCACACGCCCTCAGCACGGTTATTCTCGGTATTTGACCACGTATACGTTGTAGCTGATGGCAGATGCGCTTATCAGGGAACTTCAACTGGGGTTGTACCGTTCTTACAGGAAATAGGCTTACCGTGTCCGACGACGTATAATCCAGCTGATTTTAGTAAGTAAGATTTATTTATAAATTCAGAAAAAAAACATACACTATCCTTTCATTCTAAGCCAATACGATTATGTCGAAAAAAATATATAATAGTCATAATATAGATCAATAACCTTGAAAAGAAACTTTATAGAGTTGAGTTTAACATTATTATAAAATTATTAGCTATTCCCGTCTCTGTTGACGTGACGGGAAAGCATAATTAAAAGATCTAAGCGTAAACATTAAAACCTCCTTTACAACGATTGAAAAAAAAAACATAACAGTGATTTAACAATGTTTTTTAGTTATTGAAGTATCAAGTGGGGAATATGGGTCTCATGTTGATAAAATGGTACAAGGAGTAGAAAATGGTCGATGCGAACGATGGCGAAGCTACGATATAGAAGAGTTACAGGGAGGAGAAGAAGACATAGAACAATTGAATACAGGAGTGATAGAGAAACACAATTATCATTACGAGAGTACTGGGTACCAGCAGTTCAAGGTGCTGGCTAGACGAATGGTGTTGCAAACATTCAGGAATAGGGTAAGTATATAATTCCTGGGTCAAGAATTCTTTGCTATAAATAATATAGTTTTATCAAGATGAATAGTACAAGAGGTACCGCCGGTCAGCAGGCACCGACTCGCCCATAAGTATCATGAGGATAGTTAGTCAAGCCAGCTAAGCCCACTAGAACTAGTCCTTTCTAGGAAAGGGAAAGCCTGCTGTTTAGCTTCTCGGCCACAGATCTGAATGATCGCGTGGTTAGTAAGCTATTAGGTATACTAGATAAAAAAACGAATATATAATAAATAATTAGGAATAATTTTGCACGAATTGCTTTAATTATCAGTGTAAAAGTACTATCATTTATGTGGTAGAATACAATATTTATTTATTGCGCTATCGTACACAAACAAGACAATTTATATTACATTAAATACTGCTGCCAGCTGTCTACTCTCCATCCGTCTTACGAATTTTCGATCAGGTCACGTGTCCTGACGCGAGTTTAACATGTTTTACCCGTCCAAAAAAGTGTATAACGCCGCTAAAGAAGTTTTCTCTTAAAAAAAAAAAATGAAGGATATAATTTTACTGTATAATAACCGCTCATATACCATAATTTAAATGCTGAAGAAAGTGCCAACGTCAAGCTCAATTAACATTACTCTCGGGGCGGAACTCCGATGATTTAGAAAAGCACCTCGCTTATGAGATTAAGAAACCTTAATGAGCATAATTTACCGTAAAAAATAGAACATATAAGATTTATAGCTAAAACCAATATATCTCAAAAAGTTGAAATATCTTAGGCACATTTCTGCTAACACATTATTCTACTGTAACATCCTCTAGCACTAGTTGTGCTTACCAAATCTTTGTTAAATATTTCTGTATCCAAAATAGCAAATTATTAATAATAATTTTGAATAATGATTAATAATTATAGATGGTGATTTTCATTATTACAGGGCTACCTATGGCTTAGGTTCTCTATGCACCTCTTCATTGGAACCATCATAGGATCTCTATTCACGAACATCGGCTTTGACGGATCAAAAACATTATATAATTTCGGATTCTGCTTTGCAAGCATCCTTGCAATGTTGTACACACCGATGATGCCTATTTTACTTGCTTGTAAGTATGATAGTAATATTGTTTAGCTATATTGGATGGTTTGCTATCATTGAAAACTTCATAACAAGCGCAAATATTGGAACAGTTGATTTTCTTAAATTATTTGTTTTTCAGTTCCTACAGAAGTGATGCTTATAAAACGGGAGTACTTTAACAGATGGTACGGCCTAAAACCATACTTTGCGGCCATGTTTGTATCGAGGACGCCTGCGACAATTTTCTTTGCTCTTATATACTTGGCTATTGTGTATCCTGCGACTGCGCAGCCTATGGAGCTATCGCGAATATTCATGTTCGTTAGTACGTGTATACTGGTTGCATTAGTTGCTGAATCTATGGGAACTGTTATATCTTCTACATTAAGTATAGTGGTAAGTTAAGGAGTTAATTTCGAAACATTTAAAGTTAATACACAAATCATAGGATCAAATGTAATTTATTTCCACATTATGTAATTAGATTAATTTAAATATGTGTTTCTTGAAAAGTAGCTATGAATTTCCCTTCATCGGAAAAAAAATATGAAAACGTAGCCCGACTTACTATAACCATATTCACATAATAAACTAAACTCGTAAAATTAACAACACATTCCTATTTTTAATTAATTTTTTTTCAGAACTCAATGTTCGTCGGTCCAGTAGTAACAGTTCCTCTAATGTTATTATCAGTATATGGCATTGGAAACGGTGATGACCCACCTCCTTTAATCTGGAAGATGGCAAGGGCCTGTTCTTTCATGCGATATGGACTCGAAGGACTTGTTGTTGCAATTTATGGAGACTCTAGGGCAGACCTGATATGTCCCGATGACGTAGATTATTGTGAATATAGAAATGTTAAGTGAGTATCTTAGCGCCTAGTCTCGACTTTGGACTCTCAGTTCCGCTAATTTTCCAAATAGATCACATATTTATAGTTTGTACTGATTCTGTTTACATTAGTTATTAAGTATAAAGCTGCTGTGTTTGCCTATTAAGAAGTATACAATTAGTTTATTATTATGTTTGTGTGTTCATGTAAGCTTTTACCGTAATGCCTGTAGGCATACCCTTTTTTAAATAAAAAAAATAATAACTTAATTAGCCCTTACACTGCAAATATAACCTGCTAATAAAATTAACTCAATTTTTCCGACTTACAATGTTTATTGTTACATTAGAAATGTATACTTCAATAAGTATGACGAATAATAAAGTAATAAATTCAAATAAAATCTGTTTTTTTTTCAGATACTTCGTCAAGCTAATGGGTATGTCTCAAGTAACTTATTGGTTTGACATGTGTATGTTATTAGTTATGCTGCTCACATTAAACCTAGTGGCTTACTACTTGCTACGTCAAAGACTTTCTCCTAACTACGCCTTTAGAGCAATCAAACTTATTGGCAGATTTATCAAGAGCAGAATGAACAGTTCTCATTAGAAAGTACTTTGTACGACTTTCATTACAACATTTCAAGCAATTGTGAACCCTCAGTTTTATAGTCTATGGTTTCAATTCACTTGCGTGTTACGAGTTATTTAAAATAGGACCATAACTCTTTTTGTAATGGTTTAGTTTTCAACGATAAGCCGTATTACTTTCATCATATAACTGTTGATGAAATTTGCCAAAGTTATACTAACAAATAAAAAAGGAAGTCGCTTATGAGGTATAATGTATTACGTTAATAATCAGCCGACGTTTTAATTTAAGTTATTTTATTCTTTAATGCCGTGCTAATTTGGGCTTCACTTTTGATTGTTTTCGGACAATATTCGTTGTTAATTTTTACATACACGACGTATTTAATATTTAACATCAATTGCGCTTTAAATTGGCTCAAAGAAAACGTTCAATGATATAATAATTTATAAGTCTGATATGTAATTGACGAAACTGTATTTTCGCAAAGAAAAATTTTTTTTATTTAATATAGTAATTTTATACGTAACGAGGTTACGCCAGTGTGATATTTACATTAAGTTTTAGGAATATAAAGGTTTAATTTAAGAAATGATCTATAGCTATAATTGGAATGTTATCGGTGTTTAAAAATAAATAGTTTTTATAATTTTTTTTATTTATGTACGTTAGTGAATAAAATATAAATTTGTATAAATTACATGAATTAATACAATTTTTATCTTTCTTTCACTGTTACAACATCACAAATAATATGTTTTGTATTTTATCAAATCCGTTCTGTCTATAGTTTTTAAGGCGCTGTCTTCAGAACCATACATTTATTAATATTATATAGTTTACGTAACAAAATGGGATTGTATAAGGAATTAAAAAGCAAATTTCTCGTTACGATGTTTTTATTAACACCAAAGTTCATTACGAGTCAATCAATGTCAAACGTCTGGGAGTTTGTATAAATAAAACTATAGGTAGTAAATTAATATTCTTTATAATAAACAATTTTCTCACTAAAATAAAATCACACTTCATGTTGAACAAATTTAGAAAAACAATAAACATAAATCTTGACTAGCAAAATGCCAATTTTTTTTTATTGAGGTTATTATAAAAATCTCAGACAAATTAAAATAATCAGACATACAAATCTGCCTCGATTACATATATAAATTAAAGCATAATTACTAGGTAAGTGTGTAATCATATATATATATATATATATATATATATATATATTATATATATATATGATTAAATGTCCTAAATCAATAAAGACAGAAAATATTTATTACAACAGTTTAAAAAAATCTAATTCTATAAAAGTAACACAAATGTATAGACTATAGAGTATCAATGTGATAACCAGTAACTTGGCAACATTAGGTATGTTTAAGTAAAAATTGTATTCGTAAATAAAACAATTATATTTATTACACATTGATATTTTTATCTCAGTCGCTTCGACAAATATGATGACTAATTAAAATAAACAATTTGCTTTATCTATTAAATCTATTTCCTCAAGTTATATTTCACAAATTGCTATAATATTATGTTTCACAAATTGCTATAATATTATATTTCACAAATTGCTATAATATTATATGATAAACTATTATTGTTACTCTAGTCATAAGATTATTGTAGTTATAGATAACGAAATAATATTCTTACATTTCAGAGGTTTACAGAAGGCATTTATTAAATTATAAGAAAAATACATATTTTTGAAATGGCAGTGATTAAAAATTATATTATAATGAGATTTCAAATAATAAACAGGACGGTTTAGCGTAATTAATGTGAATAAAATTTTATAAAAATAAAAACTTATCTTAAATTTAAATAACAGAAAATAAACTAATATCTTCTAAACGTATAAAGAAATATATGTTACAAATATCACTTTTTTGCGACACACAAAGCTAATAAAACGATTTTTAATTTAATTGAGTTTAAATTAAACATTCTTCAACAAACTTTGAAGTTAATTTTCAAGCAGCAGTGAATTAAGTGTAAATACACGTCTTATAACATAGGAGGTTTAAAAATCAACTATTTTAATAAAAATTAATTGCAACAAAATTCTTAAAAAAATATTTACACAAACAGCTTTTCTTAAACCCCTCTAAGCCTACTCATTTTTCATTCCACAATCCCGGCACATTATTTACATTGGTAACTTATGTATTGTGAATGTGTATAATACAATGTATAAATGTACAGTGATGATCTGTGAACTTAAAACTATAGTCTTATCAACTGGAATGTCTAATTTAGATTGCTAATTATATTATCTATTAAATCATTTCTACTATATGGTCTATATGCGTAGGATTCGTATTTTATTGTTCTCTTCCTTATTATATTTGTCTAATGTGTGTTATTCTGGAAATCTAAAGTAGATGTTCACAATGCTACAAACGTAATTATTTAATGTTAGAATATAATTGATTCTGTCGATATATAGGGATGCATTAATGTGAAGTCAAATATGTCAATGGCACTAGACGATGCTAGAAACTCTGAACTTTGTGATATGATTGATGAAGAAGTGCACTTCGCTAATATTAATCATAGTTTTGGTGTTAAGAGATTAATATCATTTTCTAGATACTAGTCCGACTTATAAATACGTATGAGTGATGCCATTAACGACTATTACGAATATCTCTGAAGAAGGCAGTTTATAAGTTTACATGTTATACACAAAAATAACTCAGCTACGTAAAGAAAACAATAAAAGGCAAAAACTTCTAAGCGTACATACAAAATCATCCGATATACTTTAAGCATATAAACGCTTGAATCCCATGTTAAGATACTAGGGGTTACTATATAAAAAAATCCTGTTATGTATCGATTCGTAAATTTAAATCTGTGCTCTCGAATCTCTTTGCCAAGCCCTCTGCCAAACGCTAGAGCGTCGCCATTTCATGGATATAATTAGTGTCATAAATGTAAAGTCTAGTGGCACCCTTGGTGAGGCTGTTAAAGATTATAATAACCCCCTTATCAGCAATAACTATTTTTTCAACCATCAATAGTTAAAGAGTTGACTGGATTTACTTCTATCACATTTAGTTAAGTATAAGGAAGGCCTATCCGAGTCCAGACATGCGTCTAACTTCGAATGCCTTATCATTGATCCCTTGATCTTCCACAGCTGGGAGTCATCAGATTGGTCGCAAGGAGCGAGAACTGCTGTCACTCTATCATCAGAAAGCGATATACAGAGCGTGTGATGTCGGATTAGGCCGTTGTCGTATAACCACTCTTGGTTCCCGCCTGAGTTGTGGCAGGGGTACAGACCTGAAATTAGCGTTGCGTTTGAGAATTGACACAGACCATTTAAACATTTGAACTAAAATATACCTATTTCAATTTTGTTTTTTTTTGACTTGACTAAAAATGAGCCTCTAATCGGTAAACTTCTAATGCTTAAATAATTATAATATAAATATTTGATTACAAACATTATACCTAATATAAATAATTAAATATCATATACATTTCAAAAGCACTATTTTACGTGTTTAAAGCTAAGCTGGGATGTTACAAAACGACAGTAAGCAAAGGTCAAACGCTGGTCTTTTGATTTCATTTCATCTTGGAAATCACTTACCCAAGGTGCCATCAACGAGATGACCCATAGTGTCCATGCACCTGTTCCCCTGCCGTATCGTGCGATATCCTCCAGCGAACGCGGGCACCTGGAGCTCTGGATAGACATGTTCGAGGTACCAACGGAACGGTTTGCAGTGTAACTTTTCTCTTAGAGATTTCCGTTCGGAAATGCTGGAATTATATAAAGTATTAATAGTAGTTTTTGCAACTGTTATATAAAATGGTATTAATACATGAGTGTAGATTTTTTCAAAATAAGATAACACGAGTATTTTAATACCTAATTATATGCAGTTGCATACACAAATTTATTTAATCTCTTCATTTAAAAATTTATTTAAGTGTTCAGCTGAAAATGTCTTGGCTTTCTTCCCTTTATATCCTTATGATTTACGTTTCAGAAATGATACAAGTTTTGAATATTTGGTAGTATCAATTTTGTTGTATATACTAAGTGTACTTTTAATCATAGAATATTTAGAACATAAGGACGAACACTTAAAGTTATCCGATAACTCTTGAAAGTAGGCTAACAAAACGTTTTCGGAAAATAAGTTAGCCTTTTTGATCATTTTCCAAGTCTTGGTAACATTTGTCGTACGCTTTTCTTGATTTGTCTGGCAAAAGACTATTCGTCAGCATCGTCGGTGTTGCATTTTTGCTACTAAAGTTTCATCCAACAAAATATTACTCAAATTCGTATGTACGAAATAGCGCCAAAATGGAAAAAGTCTGTTATTCGTCTATCGGCTCGGAACTAGCGCGTTGCGCGCGCAGCGCGCTCACCACAGATTATGTGTACTTAAATTGAATTGAAACCTCCTCGGGACACATTGTACTTTAATAATTAAAAAATTGTTTTAACGCATAGTTTTGGTAATAATGCTTTAATTTATTTTTTTAATTTTCTTTAAGAAATATGTAAATAAAATATGCCAATAAAAGTCTGTATTTCATTTCATAATAAGAATATTACCGAATGAGATTACATAAAAATAGTTTTGTAATATGAAGTGGCTATGAACAGTTTTATAACCGGTCTAGGTTGATAGGTAGAGCGGGGCTAGTTGAGCATAGGGGCAAGTTGGGCAATCGAAATATCTCGGAAACTATTCACCTTACGCGGGAGTATCAAATAGCGAAAAGAAGGAATGGTAGGAGAGGTAATCATCGCACGATAGCTAGTGGCAGCTCGACGAGTGAGTGAAGTGTCACGGCGTTTTGTTTATTTTGTGACCAAAAAGTAAAAACATTGTTTATCGCAAGTTTTCGTCTGTCTTTGTCAAATGTTCTCTGTTTTCAATCAGGAGAGTGTTAATCTTTCAGAAGATTATTGTATTTTTGATTTGTAAATAGGTTTTGGGTCTAATTCTAGGCATTTATTTACAATCCTACTTTTCTTTTAAAATTCCGGGTTGGGGTAAGTTGAGCAACTATAGCTCAACTAACTCTACGACTTAAACAACTGATGAGTAATGAATCTTTTATTTTTTGTTTGGATGCGGACTTACAAGAGGAAGACTACAAGATGTTCTTACACTACTGAATACTTAAATAATGCTGCAAAGGCTGTCCACGATGAGGGAAAAAGTGTAAATACCGCCGCTAAAGAATTCGGTATTGGTTGACTTTTAAATAAATTAAATGAAGGTGATGATTTATGGGCTATACAACACCGAGGGAAGTATATCCTCTCTCACAAGAGAACTGTTGAAAAAATTCTTGCTGCAAATGGCATTTTTCTCCAAAAGACGTCCGTCGCCTGGCCTAAGAGTGTGCTGAAATTCCACCAAGCTGAATTGCAAAAAAGATTTCCGGAAAAGAATGGTTGATGATGTTTTAAAAACAAAAAAATCGTAGCTATCCATACAGAAACCAGAACCCACCAGCCTTGGTAATCTTTTTTTAGAAATTATCGGAAGTAATGGATAGATATATGGATGCTCATGTTTTGTTGATTCTAGTTTCGGTTAATTATACAAAGAAAATTTCTTTAAATTTTGTTGTTCTGTCAATAAAAGACTATAAATAAAAAGCTGACTGTCTAACACATATTTTATTTCATCTCAAGTTAACATAGAACCCATGGTTTGGCCTAGACATTCTTAGTGCTCAACTTGCCCCATACCCTTGCTCAACTTACCCCACCTATGGGGTACATTGAGCATACTTGACTTTCTGCATTTAAACATCTGTAGCTATTATATTGGACTTGTTACAAAAAAATACTATGGACACTTTTGTTAAGGGATAAATTACTAATCCATCAGGACACATAACAACTCATTGAGACTTATCATTGAGGAGCTATATCCAAGCAAGTGAAAAATTGCTCAACTAGCCCCGCCCTACCCTACCCTACAAGTAGGTTTTAAGATTAAAAAAATTCTTAATATTTCGATTGAAGGCACAGGTTTTTAATTCAATCGTTGGAAATTAAATAACAATATAAATGTTTAGCCTTCAGCGTAGTATATAAACCAGTCTTTCTACATTGTATAAATAATGGAAAAAATCTCGTCTTCCAAAAATACATAATTATAACAATAGGTTTAAATATTACTTACTCTCCAAAATCAACTTGTTTAGCAAGTGGTTGTGAGCGATAGTATAGTTCCTTATAATCATCCATCCACACCTCAGCAGCTCTCCTGGTGTTCCTCGCAAAGACAGCTCCAGATCCCCCAGGGAAGGTGTACGGATGGCGTTTCCTGAAGACATGTCCCACGCGAGAGCATGGGACTATCTCTAGGGAACCACCACATTGCCATACTCTGGAATATGATAATTAGTTTCCTTACATGACAACAGAAAGCTCCATATCAACAAAGTATAAAGTATATATACTATTTGTATTTTGATTACACAATTTTTTAATAAAATCCGAAGCATTACCGAAAATGCGAATCTTCATCGTTCATTTATTTTAAAGTAATACAGCAAATTGATTCACACAATAAATTCGGACAGGCGTACAAATTGTTTTGATGAGGTAAAATGCGATTTTTGGTAGGCGCTATTGTATTTAACGCTGTATTTGATTTCACTCCTGATAACGGGGGTAGCTTTATGTAAATTCTAATGTATGTGATAGAGCCTCTCTTAAAATAAAAAAAATCGCAATTAAGCTTGCTGAAAATGTCTTTAAAGTTTAGAAAAGTCAAGAAACTTTTCATTGAACCCGTTTTCGTAACAGTATTATTATGTCATTATTAATAATAACGATAAATTGATGGTTAATTAAAATCGAATGTCATTTTTAAAATTTTCACTACTTCAAAACAATTTTCAAACGGGGTATATTAAAAGGCTAAGTTCACTTCAAAACTTCCCCAATAAAGTCGAAGTAAACTAACTTGAACAACATAAGTTACGGCAAAACTCTGTAATTATTTTCACGATTTAATGGTTTACTTTGTAAATAAGAAATGTAATTAAATGGCTGTTGCGATGTGAAAGCTGTACCTCGTGCTTAGGCAAACTCTGTTTAAAAATAAAAATACACTCTGTTAAGTATAGATTGCCAACCTCGAAGAGCCAAAAGCGAAGAGCGCGCTCGCATTTAGAATCGAGACTGGTTCTAAGATTCAGAATCAAGACATAGACTTAAATATGACTCCCGCATATCACATCCAATAAGTCGTGGGCATACCTACACCACCACCATTACCAGTGCACCATCTCTGAACTCCTTTAAAAATAGATTGGATAGTTTCTCCAAATCTCAAAATACACGCGCATCAGCTTATTAAGCTGCTAGTGTGTTTATATACATAATAATAATACGGAATTCTAAGCTGGACCTTACCCTGTGACATCGGCCTAAGATCAGCCCGTCTCTGTGCTATAACATTTGTTGGCAAGACTTTTTATTGCTTTGAATTCTTGTAAAATTATTTGCAACGTGCTAATGACAATTACTTTAACTAGCGGATAGTATACCTGAAAGAGATTTCAAGATTCTCTCCTCCCCAGACGTCCATCTTCATATCGTATTTGCCGAGTTTGTTAAAATATGCCCGGTCCATACTGAAAAGACCCCCAGCGATCATGGGCGTTCGGATCACTTGGGTTGGGTCACTTAAGCGGCCACTTCGTTCAGCATGCGATAGATACTCCCACTGAAAAATATTAAAAAATACTGTAACAATATCATCGACAAACAACAAAAAAAAAACGACACAGTCGCAGAAGAATCAGAGTTCTATGTTCTTTTTGATTAAATTTGTTGAATGTTTGATTTCCTAAGAGGATTGAAAAATATTAAAAAATACTGTAACAATATCATCGACAAACGACGCAGTCGCAGAAGAATCAGAATTATGTGTTATTTTTATTAAATTTGTTGAATATTTGATTTCCTAAAAGGATTGAAAAATATTAAAAAATACTGTAACAATATCATCGACAAACGACGCAGTCGCAGAAGAATCAGAATTCTGTGTTATTTTTGATTAAATTTGTTGAATGTTTGATTTCCTAAAAGGATTGAAAAATATTAAAAAATACTGTCACAATATCATCGACAAACGACGCAGTCGCAGAAGAATCAGAATTCTGTGTTCTTTTTGATTAAATTTGTTGAATGTTTGATTTCCTAAGAGGATTGAAAAATATTAAAAAATACTGTCACAATATCATCGACAAACGACGCAGTCGCAGAAGAATCAGAATTCTGTGTTCTTTTTGATTAAATTTGTTGAATGTTTGATTTCCTAAGAGGATTGCGAAGAGGAATATGATTTGTACACATACAGGAAAACTTAAACTCAATTAAACATCATAACTATGTTTTGCATCATGTGATTGAATATAAAAAATAAAAAAATATAAAAAATGTTCTAAAAAATCAAATCTAAATTCCAAGCCATAAAATGGAAATTTTAATATTCATTCGCTTCAGTGAAGTTCAAGGTTATTCGGTCCAACTAATATTTCTCAAATGACATTTGATCTAGGTGAATTAATAATGACAGATCTTTTATCACATCGATTTTAGCGGTAAGCAAAGGCAAATCAAATCAAATCAAAATCATTTATTCATTTAGGTAACAAGATACACACACAATTATGGACGTCAAAAAATACATATTAAATGCTTCTAATTTTACATTTACTGCCAGTCCTCAAATCAAGGGCGAAAAACGGAAGAGAAGTCAATAAACTCTCGGCCACTCTTTTTAATCGCCAAGTTTTCAGTTTTACACAATGTTTGTAAGGAGCTGCAACCATTAAGCCATGTTCCTGACATCTTAAGTAATTAATAGTTAATAATAATAAAATAAATAAAAAACAAAGCTTTGTCCTCTACAGGAGGCATGGAGAAATAGGAGCACGCACTAACAATCTGGATGTACCTATTTATTTAGCAACCAAATGTAAAATACTATTTCCCTTATAAAATGAGCAAAGAACAGTAAGTGTTCAAAGAAAAAATAAGTGTACGAGATCATGTTTTTGAATGCCGGTTGTGCAGTAATGGATTTTATGTGCACAATGGCTACTTGCTCTCACGGCAAAGAAAAACCCCGTGAGGAAACCGGCATGTCATCATGAAAAATTATCAACGAAATCGAAGGCCAAATGTCCTATACATTTTTAAGATTATAATTATTTCTCGAAATAGTATCACTTTTGGTGATATTGTTTTTGTTTTTTTCCGGGCATATGGACCTTCATTAAGTATACATTCCGAAAGTAGCCTATTAGATTGCACAGGCTCACCTTGAATACCAAGTTCCAATCGAAGCCGCCGCGTAAGTCCGCCGACGCACCAATGTACTGGAACGTATCCATGCTGATCACGTCTATAACTGGGCACACTACCCGCGTTGGATCCTGGAATTGTTGAAATATGGAATTATTATCATGCATTTATTGGAATTATACTTGGTATGTATTAAGCGTACATTTTCAAAGAAGTTAAAATATTTATACCGTACAAAGCATCACTAAAAAGGAGATATGTAGAATGTATTTAAGTAATAGTAATTTTATTACTAACTCTACTTTTTTGAGTAATCCTTATTCAGTGTTAAGTTTTCTGTTCCAGAAACCAGAAATAATAAATATGTAATTTTTGATTGACGAGATAACAGGAGATTCCTTTTCTGCAGCAAAAAAGTAAGTTTGTAATACAGTGAAACTTGGTTAAGTGGGACCTGGATAAGTGAGAAACCTCCATAACTGGAACTCATGCTGAGGTCCCAACACTTTGGCACTGAATTACCTCTGTTAGTGGGACGAGGTAAGCCTCTATATCTGGGATTCTTTAGATTTATCATCATAGTTACCTCATTAACTGAGACAGCGAGTAAATTTTATATGGATAAACCTCTGTAACTGAGATAACATTGTTTGTTTACTCATTCTTATTCTACCTACAAATTCCACACGTAATTCCAAGTACGTAAGTAATTTTGAGCTTCAGTAAATCTATAGAAGACAATCAGTGCCCACAAATCGATGTTCTTCAGGCGATGAGGTTTGCTAGGAAAGCTTGGTTTTCTGTGACCAAAACTACTATAGCAAACTGCTTTAAAAAATCTGGATTTAAATCTGAAGTAACTGTAGCTGAAAGCTTACAAGAGGAGGACGAAAATTTAGAAACTGATCCTGAAGATTGGAACTTAGCCATCAGCAACGACAATAATCAACAGCCAACATTCCAAGATTTTATAAACGTCGATGACGGTTTAATAGTTTCAGGAGAACTTAATGAAAGCGACATTGTTCATGCCTTCTCGTCTTCTTCATTGGAAAATGAAGAAGAAGACGATGAAATGAGCGCGGAAGTGAATTTAGTAAAAATTATAATTTGATTACGTGTAAATACGTGCTTGAATATTTTTGTTGATTACATTTACGTATGTACTAATTTGTTTTTATTTTTATTTATTTACATACATAACACGTTGTTTTATTTAATGATCGCACCTCTATAACTGAAATAACCTGTATTCTTACCTCTATTAATGGAACCCTCTGTAAATGAGAGAGATATTTATTTATACCTGTATATCTGAGACACTGGGTAAGTGGAATACCTCTATAAGTGAAACGACATTGCAGGTCCCTTGATGTCTCACTTAACCAGGTTTCACTGTAATTTAATAGTTTTATTCGAATATTTTATAATTGTAAACACGCAGCTCACGTACGAATTTAAAACATAAAACATAATAAGTGACGTGAAATTTCGCAGAGGTTTACCGGAAAACGTAGGAGATAGAAGTGATTAATATATTCATATCACAATGCATATGCTGTGCAATAATGTGGGTAGTATGCATAATTAGTATTCCTTATAAATACGAATATTAAACAGGAATTCGGATAGTGTCAAGTTATTACTATTATTATTAACAAAAACATATTCATTGATAAAATGGGTGTCTATCGTTTGTGGATTGCTTTTTATTACCGATCTCTAGGTTTGTGGGAATTAAACAAGATATAATAATGTTGGAATTGATTAAAATGAGATGTGTAGAGAAACTGGTCGTACTTGAAACCCTTTGACACCTGTCTCCGTTCCATACAAGGCTTACTTCCAGCTTAGACGGACAAGAAGCATATATGGGCACGGATTTAAATGCGGTTTTGTATTAGTTATATCGGAAATTATCTTGATTTAGAGAAAGAAACGAAGGTTCGTTACCTTCGTTTCTTTGGTAAAGTTTTCAGAAAGCTAGTTCAGGTACAACTAATCATTTGAGTGTGAGAGTTGGTTAATTAGACACCAATCAAGGTATATATTGATTGAGCCATTGAGCCTATAGTAGGTGCCACATAAGCCACTTTTTCTTAATAAACAAATAGGTGATTAGCCTCCAGTGACTGACACACACCGTTGACTTTTATGGGCAGGTTTCCTCACGATGCCGCGATGTTTTCCTTCACCGTATGTTGAATAGGCACATAGACAGTGGTTCGGCAGCCAACACGGCGCTATTCTGTGCCTTTTTTAATAGGCTGGCTTCGAATAAATGACAAGACAGAGAGGAAAAGAAAAAGACGTGCCGATGGATATTACATCATAGCTTGACCGTGACACGTCTACCTTATAAGACAAATTAACATAACGTTACGTATATATTAATATTTAATTTAAGATGAAATTAGTGGGCCTTGGCCAATATATCGGTTTTTAGATGAGTGCTATGTACGGTGTGAAAGTGACGGTCATTTCTGTACTTATTTAAAGCCAAAAAATACACAATTAACATTTATTTTGTAGTAGTAGTGTAGTTGTGCAAATGTTTTTATTATGTAAAATAAGTGCGGCGTAATCAGACTAATAAATTTTTTATAACTTATATTATTAATCTTAATATATATTAAAATTACGCGTCACGTTGTTTGTCCGTTATGGACTCCTAAACTTCTTTACCGATTTCAATCAAATTTGCACACCGTGTGCAGTTTGATCTAACTAACAAGATAGGATAGCTTACATATATATATATGTCTACTGTACCTCCTCTTAAACGGCTGGACTGATGTGAATGTTTTTTTTTATGCGTTTGGGTGGAGGCGGGGTGGTTTAGATTCACAAATCAGCCCGAAAGGTGGCGCTGCAGTCGGTACTTTCATACTTTGTTTAATATCCTAATCGCTTGAAATATCATGCAGGACAACGTCTGTCCGGTCCGCTAGTTTCTTTATAAACATACTTACTAGTCTAAGGTAAGGTCTTAGTTTTCTTTTTTAGCTGTCAAAGAATATCAGTAACTACCATTTACAAGGTCACGTTGACACCAACTGAATGAAGAGTTTTATGTCATATGTCAAGGTCTACAGTCGTATTACGCGAATGTCACGGCCCAAACCGGATCCTACTCGTTCCGTAATGACATGGTTCAATTCATTTTGGTCTTTACACGCGATTCTAGCTCTTATCTCAATGCTAGAAGATTTAGTTTAACGGAGGAGTGTTGAAATTTTAAATGAATGCGTAAGGCGTCTTGAAATTAGAAGATTGGGTTACAGATGCGAGTCTAATTGTAATTTTGATTAAAGATGTCGTAAGGTTATAAGGTAATTTATGCTACTTATAAAATTGTTATGGCCTGCTGACCAAACCGTTGATTCCAATTTCACGTAGAAAATTACAAATAGTATCACCGATTACATGATTGTGATTAAGTTTTTGTTAACAGAATTAGCTTATATTAACAAAAACGAATAATTAACAAAAATGCACGTCGAGTTCTACCAAAACAGCATACCTTTTTTGTGTGAAATGAATCGAGATCCCTCTGCAAAATCAGTATGTAATTGAAAAAACCCGATATAAAAACCCAGAAGCTTAGTTGAAATTGCTTTGAATCGTAAAAAAGTCAATATTAAATACACAAAATAGTTATTTTGTAGTCATTACGATTACGTATTTTTTGCTGTATTCGGCATTCTACCTTTTGGGTGACAAAGTGTAAAATATTATTTAAGAACCTTAACCTCTTAGTATCCGGTATTGCGATACTTGGAGTCTAATGATTAAATTAAAGAATACCGGAATTCGCATTTGTTCTGACGTGCTTTCAAATTCCTAACATCAGATAAGTAACGAGTATTACAGGAAGTCTAGAACCTTCCAGACTGGTGTGAGGTCACATGATTACGTTGGAAACAATGAGTGGACTTCGCAATACCAGGGGGTGAAGGGATACAGATGATCTAACTTGCGCAACCTGCATCTTCCGCTCACCGCGCTTGAGTAACTACTGTATGGAATAAGGCACGAGATTTAGCGGGAACTTCCTGATTTGTCTATTCAAATTAGCTTAATTGAATTTGGTAAGCATCGTTCCGTTTTACATTATATAGTAAGACAACTGAACCTATAATTGTAAAGTGCTTACTTAGCGTTTCCCTAAGAAAAGATTTCTAAACCTCCATAAAATAGTATTTTTTATATATTCTCACATAATTCTTTTTTTTAATGTAAAAGGAGGTAAACGGGCAGTAGGCTCACCTGATGTTAAGTGATACCGCCGACCATGGAGACTCGCATAGCCAGAAGACTCGCAAGTGTATTACCGGCCTTTCAATAATTGGTACGTTCATTTCTTGAAGAACCTTAAATCGAATTATTTAGAAAATACTTCAGTGGGCAGCTGGTTCCACATAGTGGTGCGGGGAAAAAACTGCCAGAACGCTCAGTTGTGGAACGACGGATGCCAAGGTGATACGGATGGTATTTTGTATTCTGCCTTGATGTCCATAATGAAACTCAGCTGCAGGTAAATGCGGTAAAAGATGCAGAGAGACTCCACATCTCTACGCAACGCCAAGGGATCAAGCCGCACGGAAAGTCGTTGACGATTCGAATCGCTTTTCGTTAAATACGGTCAAGCCGAAGGAGCTGGTACTGGGGAGCTCCCGCCCAGAGGTGAGAACAGTACCCCATATGGAGCCGAATTTGCGTTTTATAGAGTTGCAAGCAGTAGCCCGGAGTGAAGTACCGTCTCGCCTTGCTGAGCACACCAAGCTTTTTGGAAGCTAATTTAGCCTTCCCTTCCATATGATCGCGAAACTGAACGTTATTCGATATGTCAACACCCAGTATTCCGATGCTAGCTGAGGCTTTAAGGAGAGTGTCTTCGATGAGAGGAGTAGCAACAAAGGGAGTTTTTCGGAACGTCAATCAAACTTAAATAATTTTAAGAGTTGTTAAACCATTTATCTAAATGAATTCTGACTTATTTGACAACGCTGAAGACTAGATTATGACTTGAGATTAGAATTATTAAATTGGTCCTTTGATTCAGTTGCAAAATGCGTATTAAGGGTTTCGTAATCCGATAGATCGCTGTTCGCCTGTAGCTTGAACTTGATAAAAAGTAATGCGGTATATCGTACATGAAGCAACTTACTTTCAAAGTAAATCGGTTTTGCAATATTGCAGTGGTCGAGATGGTACATCTTGGAAATTTTTACGTTCTATTTAAATGTCTCAAAGACGATTTCATATTGCCGTAACAAATTTATTTCACACCAATTTTCTGTCCTTATTTAATTGTTACTTGATATTATTTACGAAATCCAGTTTGATTGTTATTTATATCTCGTTATTTCAGGGTTATTTAAATTTTTTACAGCCAAAACTGTTTTCCCAGGAATCACTGAGTTTAACTGAGATAAAAGCTATAGCTATAGAAGCTATACATTCTTCTTAATTACAATATTTAACTTGAATAGTTTTTATGTATCTTTATTTGCATGCAGACGTAAAATAAAGATTAATTAAAAATCTAATATCGTTTGTTTCATAAACACTGATCGAGTCAGATACAATTTGATAGATTTACGAGTTTAGATTTATTACCATTGCGTATAACAAAAGAACAATCTCTTCGACTACAAAATGTTGAATTTATTTCAAATAAACTTCACAAAAGTATGTGGTAATAATATTGTAAGTATTTTATGTGGGATTTACTTACAACATAGTAATTTACATTTTAGAATGTAGTTTATTGTATCTGAGCACTTTATAGTCGATTAATAAGTTTGATAAGAAAAAGTATTTAATAGACAATATAGTTTTATGTTTGATCCCATGTACCAAAGTCAAGTGTGCCTTGTGCCTGTCAAACCGTAACAATCATTGTTTAGTCGGGAATTTAATAGAGGACTTTTGGGTTACACGCAACGTGGCTTCTCTAAGCCTTTGTGCCTCTATTTTCCTAGTTATAGACTGTTTTTATATTCCAGTTTACAACTTTATGAATGAATGGGGAAATAGATTAAACAATAAGCAGGACAAGACTATTGAGCCAAGAGACAACGAGTTAAGGACAAGAGTTGCACCTAAATAATGGCACAGGAAGATCAAGAATTACACGTGGAAAAAGAAAAGTAGGACTAACTGATAATTAATTCCACATAATATTAATATAGACGTCTAACGACAGAAAGGCAGAGACAGAAACTGATTGTTGACAATGCAGCAAACGAGAACTAGAACAATGACTGGAAAGCACGACCAGGATATCAACAAAAACAGAACCTGCAGATAAATTAGTAGAAATGCTGACGGCTGGTTGGCATCAGCCGTATCATTTCGACTTTATAGTCTACTTTGATGACCGCTCGATCGAACTGATTTGCCTTTGACGTTAATAAGCCTATTGGCATAGAATAACAACAGCAGCTTACAGTAACGCCATTGCTTCGACATGTATATAGCCTTCTTTTGTTTTTATAAAAATTATTTGTGGGTCGGGGAAAGTTTATTAAGAAATTAAAATTTAAAATGTTTAGAACGAAAGCTCTAGATTTTTTTTTCTAAAGCGATGATTCCCACGTCTTGAAATTGTAAAAACCAAATGACAAATACCAATACAACGCTCTATTTTATTCGATCATTATCATTAATGAATATGGAAGCATGCGTCTTGGAGACGACGTGATGTGTATCGTAATGTCAAGGTCTGACTTTAGCTTAACAAATACCTGTCGCTTATGAAATATTCTTCTAGAAGCATTCGAAAATCATCACATGTTTTTTCGTTCCATAAAATGTCCCTGTTGCATTTAGCTTTATAACTGCTATTGACTAGAGACTAGTATTGGGCAAGTTGATAGAATTTTCTTAGTACAGGTTTTGTTTCGTTCATTTACGGAATTGTCGGTAATTTTCCTAATAAGTCAACTGTCAAAAGTTTCTAACGCTCTTTAGGTTTGTAGAAAAAAATCAATCAGGATAAACGAGCGGATACTAGTTTCATATAAAGATTAAAGTCGGTTAATATATAAATGTTAATTAAGTTGATTCGCAGTTGGAGTTAAAGTACCAATACCACCATTGTTTATGTATACCGTCTCTACATTGATTATATAAGACTTTGGTCGTTATATGTCATTAAAGATAGCCTGGCTTTATGGACTTGAATTATATACGTCACACTAATATGATAACTACTATAAGGATGACACCTGCCCCTTCTGGTCGTTGAAGTATAATAAAGTTCTCAAGTGTCTTTTCCATATGTATTGCAAGGTCTTATAGCAAAATATATAGTATAAGTGAAAATACTATGGTATTTGCGAGAATATTTTTTTATAGTTTTTACTCTTCTTGGAATTATAATAGCTATGATAATTTATTTTCAACGTGTATATAATTAGTAATATATTCATAATAGCAGCGAGTTTACGTTAATATTTAGTTTATATAGTCCCAAGTACATATAAAAAAATACCCTACAGAACTCTGCTAAGGATAGATTTTGTAAGGGAAACATATAAAATACTTTTACGTTAACTATTCAATATAAAATATAGTTTCCTCATAGTATTGCAGTAAACATACAAATTCGTTACCGGAGGTTATCCTTTTGCAGCCCAAATATTCAAAAATAATATACTGGAGATATAAAATTGTACTTAAAGGAAACTTTATTCAATATTTCAAAGAAACAAAACCACATTCGTGTAATTTTCCGATCTTTTATATAAAATAAATTTAGATTTAAATTTTAAGTTTCTAAATCCATAAAATATGTATGTATATTTGACTAAACAAGATGTGGATGTCTAATGATTTAAGTTTGAAGTTCGTAATTCAATATACTAATGCCCACATTGCGTTACATCGACTACAGTATTGACCTCTGGTTGCTTAACAGTTGACGCTAATTTATTAAATTACCACCAGTATAGTCTACTATTTATTATCCTGCATTTTCTCTTACTTACTTATCTAACAAAATAAGTACACATAACTGTTATTCCGATCACTGCTACAACTAAAAAATATGTTCTATACATAATATATTAAATTATAGCAATAAAAAATCCTTTTAAGACAAGGCAGAACATGCAACCTTTAGATTGTACCAAATTTTAAATTTTTGGCGTTATATTTGTCCATATAGATTTACATAGCATTGTAAAATTATAGAGATTTCGCTTCCACATTGCGTCGTTCTAACCTGTTAATCATTACATCCTTAATAAACTTTATTCAAAGTACTGTTTTACCTCTTTAATCCTCTTAAGCAGAGGCTCCAGCCAATGAACGTTGCACTCCACATGTGAGTCCAAAAAGGTGAGGACCGGTGCGGTGGCTGCATCTGCACCACGGACCCGAGATCTCATGAGACCTTCTCTCTTTGTGTTTCTAATAACTTGCACTTTTCGTATTGCTCTGAGTGCAGCACCGTCTTCAGCTGAAGAATAAAATGGCGCATTAATATTTTAAAATAACAACTTAACATTAACATCAGCAAAGGATTTTTAAACTTTCTCAAATAATTATATCATTCAACAAAATGGAAAATATGATATTTTCCTGTCGTTAAATACTAAGAATTACAATACAAGTTATAAAGTCTTTGATAATTAATATTTTAACTATCATTTCCAACCAGTCTAGGCAACTATTCTAATTAGGTGGTGTAACACGTAGTAAGATTGCGACTTTGAATACAATTGTACAAAATACAATGTATGTGAAAATAGAATTCGTAATACTATATTTTTTTGAACGGAGAATTTCGCAATATCTATATATTACAACATTTTATGTTTTCTCACAAGATTACATACAATATGTTTGATAACTATTGTTTTGTTTAAAATAATTGGTTAAAAAGGAGGCAGAATTATATCAAAAAGGCTATAAATGATCATATCACAAATGAGTTTCTAGGATTGCTAGCGTTTCTATTCACATTGATACTACTACTACATGATGTTCCCACAGTAAGTGCATTATCCTATTTCACAGCTCCTTGCTGATAGACATCGGTTTTCTTATTTATTTATTCCTTATTTTTTATTTAATTACACTAATTAACTGATTTGACATGTGCTTAGGAGCATGATGTAATGGTTGCAGGTGCTTACATAGATTTTGGCGATTTAAAGAGTGTCGGATAGTTGATTACCAGATCTTGTCAGTTTTACGCCCTTGATTTGATAACTGGCAGTAAATAAATTTAGAATCATAAATTTTGTTGTGTACATTACGTTACTTTTATGAATATTTAGATTTTTATATTTATTTCAAAATATTGCAGTTCATTTCAATCGTTTTCGTATGTACTTAAGCAATTTTCATATTGCTACTAATTATATATATTCCTATTTTTTTAATTCTAAAATACATATTATAATTAAAATATGTATTCAGAACTTAAATAAAGATCATTTATAAAGAATCCAATTATTTAGTGTTATATAAACTCACTGAGAAGCTGTTAAATAATAAAAATGTAAATTTTTGCGTTAAATTGAGCGTTGGGTATATTCAAATGGTTTATGCACACAAAGTGAAACAGAATTGCTTTTTAAACACATCGTTACAACAAATTGTGTATAATCAAGTGTTGCATAATATGTTTATGTAGTGTGCAGTATATTTTTACAAAAGGGAAGTCCCTTTATGCATACGTGTTTACCTAATCTTAGCATTTTACGTTTTTGTCCAAACACAAAAGAAGCAAATTGTTTTATTGATTTGATTATTAGACATCATTGTGCCTGCAACACACCGTCCATTATGTAGTCTAAGACATATTACCGCTTTCCTCACGAAGTTTTCCTCTATGATACAAGCAAGTGTTGATTACACAAATAAAAAGATAAAATTCGTTAGTTCCGTGATTCGAAAGCACAAACGCGATACTGCTCTATACTAACTTACAATAGTTATAACTAGATACATCACATACATATAATATATAGTTTTAAAAAACGTCTACAGATTAAATATACTTAAGTCAACTTACGGTTATCACTAAAGTCGTCGACTAGAATTATTTCTTTAATTAGATGTTCTGGGCTTCGATTCAACACACTGAAAGTAAAATAAAAAACACAGAAATAATATAGTGCAGCAGATAATGGGTTTGAGTCTGGCGAAAATTTCATTAAGTAGTAACATTTAATTAAATTTCTAAATCAATCATAATGTAATGGGCGACTCTATGTCCATATGTTGGCAAACGTTGCTAAATAATCGTATTGAAAAAGCAAAGAATATTTGTGTCCAAGTTCTGGTAATATATACCTGACAATGGTTCGTAGGAGAGTGGATCGCGCTTCATTATGAAAGGTAATGATAACGCTCGTCTCAGGCAAATCTTCGTCGTATTTTTTCAGTCGGCACCTGAAAATATGCATCATATTATAAACGATAATACACAATATTCATAGAAACATCATATAAATTCAGTTAGTCAAAGTTTAGCCTAATATCTGGCTTTAGTTTGAAATTATCGATATAATAAAGTCCCTTTCAGAGTTCATAAGCTTAGGTTCACTGATAGTTTTTCGAAAGCGTTGTGCCCTTAAAAATAGTGTTTAAGCATTAATGTATAGCTTTAGCTTTACTAGTTAAGTTTATTTATTCTTAATTACTCTCCAAATTACGTTAAAAATTCGTAAAATTACAATTTCTCTGTTGTCAATCGCAAGTCTACTACGACACTTTTAGAACATAAAATTTTCTTACACTGGAACAAGACCTTTACATTGTAGAGGTAACGTCCTCGCGATCGATATTAAATGCCACTTTTAGTAACCCAGTTAACTTGTAACGAACTTAATATTGTAACCTTCTATAACGTATTCATAAAAGATGTTTAGAATTTATGTAGTCAAATCTTTTATTATCTAATTGTTGTTTGATCCTTTTTTTATCCAAGACTTATTTTGCACTCATTCAAGTTGTTAAATATTTTTATATTTTTTACACATATTTTAGCTTTTACGTTGAAACTTTTTTACCGGGGAACGTATATTGTATAAGTGAGAATTATTGCAACTAAAAAGATATGGTAAATATACACTGATTAGTTATTCTACATACCGAAGTATAATGAGGTAGAAACTTTTTGAATTTGTTTGGTAGGAATAGAAGTCTAAATACTTTTCCGTTATCACATTTTGTACATATGAATGAGTGTTATTTCTATCACACTATGCCCCAATGACAGGGTTTCATTCTATTTTTAGAATATATTCCAGCCTATGCCTCACTATTTTTTTTTTAAATAAAAATTTAGATTTTTTTATAAAATTGCTAGCACGACTTACATAGCATTTCTCGTATCAGGCACACCTCGGTTGCTAGGCAACGCATCGGAAGCCACCTGATTAAATCTGTTCCTGACGTATGGGTCATTGTCCTTTGCGCCCCCAGCGACATAGCCTGCCTCATCGAAGTACTTTCCAGTACTGCCTGTGCCATACTCTTCGAGTGATATCGGACTGCTCTCAGGTTCTTCTGTGTCTGCGTGCTGCTTTATTAATCTAAGTGCTATGTTTTCTTCCTGTGAACAAGGGAACGGTGTGATAAAAAATCTATGCATTTTCGTCTGCACACGGATATAAATAGGCATAAAAAACTATGCTATTCAACTACTATCTACTGTGTACCAACCAAAATATGTTGATTATTTTAATTCGTAATTAAATAAATTATGCTTTATCGAAGAATTTAATAAATTTTTACTTAATCTTATGTCATTATAAAATACCGATGCTCAAACGAAATAATTAATTAATATTAAGTTTCAAACAATGGTATTACAATGTTTCTAAACTATTATATTGTTTATTTAAATTGTTACAGAGAGATGTTATAATAAAAAATGACTTTATAAATTACTAACTACATAATAATATAAAAATCCACGTCTCTTTCTCTTTTGCAGCCAATAGAGTTTCATCAATTATTATTCTAAAGTTATCCGCTTATGAAAGCCTTAATTGAAATACTTCGGAACTTACACAGTTAAAATTTTATACAGACTGCACAGCATACATATACAAAATATGTTTTAACTAACAAGGAAGCTTTAAGCTCATGTTTTATGGGGCATAACTTTACATGTACGAGACTTGTTAAATATTTTAGTCGCTCAAGGTCTTCAGAACATCAGTGAATATTTATCTTATGGCCCTTTGTTAGGTAAACATTTTCCTTATTCAGAGGTAATGTCGGCGAAAAGGTGATTTTTGTAATGTTTTTACAAGCTTTGGCAAAAATTTATTACCAGAGAATGTCGAAATTTGTTTTTTTTATTTGAGACCAAAATGCATTTTATGTATGTGAAGATTGAAAGTCAGAGAACCGGGTCAACAATAACCACTTAGACCACTTCGGGTAAATCTAATAAAGCCATATTCTTGTAAAAAGTAAATAGCCACATCACGTAAGTGCCTCCGTCGACCTCTCAATATCCTTCTATGGCGGCCATTAGGTAAAGAGTAATTAAGCCAGCTTTATAGCTCTCAAGGTAGAACACCAGTTACATTAATTACTACTTGCACCGACCTACCTGGAATCGAACTCAATACCACAGGCGTGCTCAGCGCGACGGTGGAACTTAGTGGAACTTAGGACAAACGTTTGTGTTGATTTATTTAAAGTTTTATAAGTAAATAGACCGGTACCTTCTAATTCAAAAATACAATAATAATAGTTTGCTGTGCCTTATTTAGTTCATTATTTTCCAATTTATTTCTCATGTACCAACAAATAGTTCGAAATGGGAAATATGAAGGATTTAATAAAGAATTTCAATTTGTACGATACAAAGGAGACGCATATTTGCATTACAACAATTTTAATATAAAAATAGCATATTTATTTTTAGGATACGTGATAAAGAATGTTCACAAAATTGTAATAAAATTGTGATTGTCAATTAATAATACGTAAGCTGACCGGATTTGATTGACTGTAGCTATTTATTATTAAAGTTCGAAACTTAGTACGATTTACACTCATACATCTTATAAAGAGAAGATGCATGATTTTTGTTTTGTATTCGATAAACTATTTAACTCCGAAATTATCCGATTTATATCTTTTTCACAAAAAGAAAGCCATTATCAGCCACTATAAAAATATGGCAAAAACTTATAGCTATATTCTTCTATTTTGGTTTCGACATAATTTAATATCGTAAGATAATTATGTCCGAATTTAAAATAAAAGTAATGAATGAATGTTGTTACAATTAACAAATGAAGTTCCGTTTCAGAATTTGAGTATAACAGTTTTTAATTTAATATTATTAGTATTGTTCCGGACCGGTGTGATGCCGGGGCGGGTCGCCAGTTACGCAATATACATATGAGCCAAAGAGAGCATATCAAATCTCAACTTCCGAGCAAACTGTCAAACGAGCCGTGACTGATCCACTTATGAGCAATTACTGGGGACAAATATGATCTGTTTACGACGTATCGAAATGGATATAATTTTCCACGCTATTTTTTGCATTATGTGTAAGTAAAAATTTGATCGTCGAATTACCCAAGACACAGTCGAACTTCACTTGATACTACATTCTTCTTTTATTTTAATTGTACGTAGGATTTATCGGATTAATACATTTTCTATAACAATATGTTTATTTTTTCGACGCCCATCAAACAGCCTTTGTGATATGAAACCTGCAGGAAGACGATTAATCTTTTCTTATAACATTCTTAAATCGTAATCTCAATATGTATTGTTATAAAATACAAAAGTTTATGTACGTGGAAATGGCTTTAATATTTTATTACGGGTAACTGAACTCTGTAATCTATGAAATTTTATAGACATTATCAATAATCTTAGAATAACACTGACACAACTGATCGAGTCGTATAAAATTAAATGTATTTTTAAAACTTAAAAACAATAATAATACAATAAACAAATTATATAAAGAACTCCGTTGTCAGATTATGTCAGATAATATATATAAATCCATACTAATTTAAAAAAATATATTAACACATTGTTTAGGTAAAAGTTTCAGGAATAACCTGTCATTACGCTTAAAGCAAATGAATTTGTGGGGAATAGCTAAATAAATATAGAATTTTATTTCTCGATTATCTGACAAAACATGCCCGTAGTGTTCCCTTGAGAAAATCTACGTATTGCGATGCCGCGGGCAAAACTACGATTGGGCAATTATTATTATGTGAAGTCCTATGGTTTCCAGACATTTAAAAGACCGCAAGAAATTTATGGTAATTCCATCCTACAACGTGCTAAAACAAGAATAACTAGTCTGAATCTAGTGTTACTTGCTTCTTCTATACAATTTCCTTTATGTTTGTAGAGAAAGTTGAGGAAGTGATCAAATGCTCTAATATTATAGTAAAGTTATTACACTTTATTAATAGTTTGTGGAAGTAATACAAATGATTTATTAAATAAACCGTGAGATGTTATGCATGAAAGTAATAAAGTATGTAGTTCATAGTATAATATATTATAACGAACTATGAAAAAGACTTACGTACATAACGTAAAAATATAAACATATTGCTGTTTTACCCTACCCTATCTCTCGTCGCGGTGTTTGTAGTTCAATTCCTCCGAAACGGCTTGACCGATTCTCATGAAATTTTGTGTGCATATTGGGCATGTCTGAGGAGAATCGGACAACATCTATTTTTCATCCCCCTAAATGTTAAGGGTAGTCCATAAATTATATTTTTTAAATTTTTAGATAAAAAAATTATTTTTATTTTTTTATGATACAGCATTAAAGAAATACATAAAACCCGTAATTTTCACCCCTCTACGATCAACCCCTATTTTTTTATTATAAATGATATACATGGCAAAACGACGTTTGCCGGATCAGCTAGTATATATATATAATATATATATCCCTCAAAACCCAAGCAATGTTTTAATCCCCTGGGGATGGATCCTAGGACGTCCAGCCTTAACACCATTTAGGTGTACCATTCATGTTTTTATATGGCTGTTAAAATATTGATATGAGAATCACGACACGTTGCCAACGCTTGCGTCGAAGTGATAATTCTTATCACGAATCAAATACTTCAACCTGAAGACTAAAGCGTTAGGTGTCACTGCGTGAGAGCAACATCATTTCTATCTGTGGTACTAACGTCATCTATCAAACAACCTGTCAACTGTCCGTTACAATGTCAATGCGCAGCCGAATTCTTCACGTATTGTTTGGTTATATAAACTAATCCACTTGCATAATAACTTGTGAAAGTTACACGTCCTTGCGAGATCCGGTTTCTTTGCATTCAGATCAAAACGTGGTATGAACAGTAGGCACTCTTAGTGAGATTACGTTGTATTAGTTTAAGCACAATTTTATAATACTGTCAGACTTTACCTTATTATAGCACTTATGGAAAACTGTGGAGTAAGTTCGTTTGACCAAAACATTATTTTCGTATAATATATTAATCTGATTCCTCATAGAATTAGTTGTAATAATTTACTAATTGGTAGTAATAAGTTTTGTGCTCTTTGATAGCGCTACCAAATTAACTAATTGAAAATTTAAAAGTTCAAATTTGAACTTTGTATACAAATAACTCGGTTGAATTTTTTGATTGACATGAGAATAAAAAGTAATAATAGTGATAAAAAGTATGAATTATTCATAAATTAGTTGTTCCTATTTTAACATTTTAATATATATACAAGTTTTATACTAGAAGATCTAATTTTATGCACCCGTGGGAGGCTTTCACCCACGGGTTGGAAGCCGAGTGTCGTTTACAGGTCATATGACTCCCCCAGAAGAGATATTCCATACTATATTTACTTTAAGACAACATTTAGAGTTTATTTTTGTACCTAGGCGTAGGTTTCAGTAAAATTGAAGTAAACCTTAGCTTACGTAATACTTGAACGGCCCCTATATGAGATTTCTTATTTTTAATGAATTGTTGAAATTAAATTAAAGAAATTCACAGATCAGATATTAACCAAAAAAATACTTCAAAGATCTAATTTCCTCAAAGACAAATTATTTTCTTGTCAAGCCAACAATACCGCGCTAGATGCTAGAAAGAGTATTTATAGGTATAGACAGGATCGTATCTCAAACTTGAATTGGCATTTGAAACGCTAATCGTTACAAACCAGCACTTATTCCCGCGAGTTTGAACATGAACAATGACTGCAGTAAAACCAGGTGCACATAGTTGAGATTTTTAAACCCTTATTTAAACTGACATTAATAAAACACGAAGAGTCAGAAGAGAGAATTATTAAGGCTTCTACGCATGTATACAATGTCTGGGAAGCTGCTTAAGGTCAATACTATCTGACGATGATGTCGCATGACCTCATATAGGGCTCACTCTGTAACTTCCAATAGCGGTAACAACAATGATCTCGATCTCAATAATCAGGTTTTGTACCGTGCGATCGCAAGGTTGATCAGCGCTATTAGAGAACTACATACAAAATTACCGGGATCGGTATCGCTGTCGCTATTGGAAGTTAGAGTTAAGGCTCAGGGCCAGTTTGTGACGTAGAGGCAATACACAAGGAATAATTAGTCAATGATAAATAAAAAGT